AGATTCAGCTATTTATCCAACATACCATGATTTAAAGAGTGCAAAAGACAGATGTTATCCAGATGATGTTATAATCTCTGATTACTCAGCAGAAATTCCGTTGCAGTCTCTACTTCAGCACACATCACAACGACTTTGTGATTCTCAGATAGAAGTGCTGACTGCTGATTCCCTTAAAATCTTTAAAAAACTTACACTTAGATCAAAAATAGGATTTGATGGTGCAACTGGTCTGTCAGTGTATAAGCAGTCGAGTACAGATGAGGCTGGCAGGAGTTTAGCCAATGAAGTATCTTTATTTATTACATGCTTAGTGCCATTAGACTTATACTTTTTTACAGATGCCAAGCGGCAGCTTGTTTGGAGGAATCATAAACCTTCGTCGCCTATTTTTTGCAGACCTGTCCGGTTTAAATACATCAAAGAAACAAAGGAAGTAGTCTTAGAAGAATTTGAGTCAATTAAAAATGACATCAAAACACTCCCAGTTTCTAAAGTGATAATTGCTGGACAGACATTAGATGTACATCATATCATAGATATCACTATGATTGATGGGAAAGTGCAGACCATAATTTCCACTGCTACAACTTCCACTCAGTGTTGCAGTGTTTGTGGCATCTCACCAAAGTTCATGAATGATCTGCCAATAGTTTTAAAAAAAGAAGTGAAAAATGAGAATCTGCAGAATGGCATCTCAACACTTCATGCCTGGATTAGGCTTTTTGAGTGTTTACTACATATTGCATACAAGATTCCAATTCAGAAATGGCAAGCAAGAGGTGTAGATGATAAAGCTATAGTTGCCACCAGAAAGAAGAAAATACAAGTTGCATTCCAAAATGAGATGGGTCTTGTTGTAGACCAGCCATGCTCTGGGGGTGCTGGTACCTCAAATGATGGGAACACTGCACGTCGTGTGTTTCAGCAGGCTGAAAAGTCTGCTGAAATAATGGGTGTTAGTCCTGTTCTTATCAGAAGACTACATTCAATATTATCAGTGATGTCTTCTGGATTTGATATTGAACCTAACAAATTTAAAAAATATTGTTTTGAGACTGCAGAGTTGTATACACAGTTATATATATGGTATCCTATGTCACAGACTTTACATAAAGTTCTGATTCATGGACATCTAGTGATAGAATTTTTTAGCTTGCCTCTTGGCATGATGTCTGAGGAAGCACAAGAAGCCTCAAATAAGTACTTTAAAAAATACAGGGAGTGCTTCTCTAGAAAATGTGACAGAAAAAAAACCAATTTGGACGTGTTTCATCGCCTTTTATGCCATTCAGATCCTTTTATTGCTCAATACCGTAAAACAAACAGTACAAGAAAAGCTATTCTGCCTGCCGATGCAATTGCTCTGTTGAAAGAGCCCAGCATCATTTGCTCTTTGTGAGTTTTTGATGATATCTTAGAAATAAATGTTTTTGCCAATGAATGTACGTGTTTAGCAATAAATGTTTAATTATATATAAGATTTTTTTTTTCAATATAAATAAAAACAACATCTTAATATATTAATATAGTTTTTAATCATAGTTTTATTTGTTTTAATTTATTATGAGGTTTTGGCTAGAAATTAACTATTTTAACCCATTATAGTTTTTTATTATTGTGCATAGTAATAATAAAGGTTCTACCATCTAGTGTTGCTAGATTATTGCAAGAATCTAGAATAGTATACTTTTTATACTATTCTAGATTCAAAAAAAACTTTAAATAATATTTTTGTTTCTAATTTTATTGCCGAATTAAGGGAGGGGGGCTATGGCCCCGGGGCCTTAAATTTTAGGGGCCCCGTAACATTCAAGAAGACCTTCCCCTTACAAATCGTGCTATATAAATTTGGCTAATAAAGTACTGCAGAAAAAAATAGCCCCGGGTCCCGAATGTTCTTAATCCGCCTCTGGCTAGTTTACGGAATTTTTTTTATAGGCTAAAAAATTGGAATTTTTCAAAATTATGCAATAAAAATCCAAGTTTTTATAAAACTAAAATTTTTTTTTGCATAATTTGTTTTTCAATATAATACACCGTTTGTAATAAAAAAAAAAAAAAATTAAAATATATTTTAGAGGTTTTGGCTGAAAATTGGCACCTCTGACCCACTGTGCAATGGTTTAATAGTAAAGTTTAATAATAAATTTTTTTTTAATAACTTTAAATTTTCAGCAGGAAAGTAAATGTGAATCGAAAAGATGGTTCTGAAAATTAATTTCTTATATATATTAAATTTGTATGTGAAAACAGGAATAAATATATATAGAACTTAATATATATATATATATATATATATATATATATATATATATATATATATATATATATATATATATATATATATATATATATATATATATATATATATATATATATATATATATATATATATATATATTTATATATATATATATATATATATATATATATATATATATATATATATATATATATATATATATATGTATATATATATATATATATTTATTTATATATATATATATATATATATATATATATATATATATATATATATATATATATATATATATATATATATATATATATATTTGTATTACTTCAAATTACTCTAATGTATCCACATATTTATTTAAAGTTAATATACTGGATGTTCATTTTCAGGTAATTCATCATCAACGTCTCAAAATAAAAAAATTAAAATGTCTCAGTCCACTTCATCTTCAGTTGGTAAATGTTTGAAAATAGATAAGCTTTTCACACAAACAAACGGCAAAGAGAAAGATTTGTTTGAACTGCGATTCGGTAGATTCATATACACTACAAACTATAGCTTTAGTTGAACATAAAGAGTTTAAAAAATGTATCAATATGCTTCATCCTGGTTACACTCTACTTTATAGAACTCAAATTAGAGGAATAATATTAGATAAGGTTTACACAGAAGATATTGAAAAATGTATTGAATATGTTAATTGTAGCAATGGATGGAGTAATGTGCATAACAAACCAATAGTTTTTGTCTCTGTAATTGCAGATAATATTAACATTTTTGTAGAAACAATTAGTACTTCTGGTGAATATCCAATTGGCAAGAGAAGCAATATAATCTGTAAGTTTGGATGCACAGTAAAAGGTTTTGTGACTGACAATGCAGTTAATATAAAATCAATGCAACAAATATTGTTATCTGAAGGAGAGGAGGGGAGAGAGCGAGTTCTTTATATATATGAATAACTACTTTAGAGAGTATGTTCTTTATAAATATGAATAATTAATTATGGGTGTGCTGCTCATATGCTAAATCTTTTAGCAAATAATCTTAGCATTGAAAATGTGAGCAAGCATGTTACACAGATAATAAAATGATAATCATCAAGCTGGAGCAAATTAAAAGAGAAAGCGACAAAATTACCCACTGAATCAATTACTTCCAACTGAAACATGCTGAAATTCTTTCTGTGATTCACTTTAAAAATATGGTAATAACTAGAGCATCATCTTCACAATGTTTGAAAAAAATAGAGACTTGGATCCCACAATCAGTAGAAAATTAAGTGACATACAGATAAAGTGAAATGCAGAATATTTGTTGAAAATATTAAAACCAATTGGAGTTGCTCTAAATAAGTTGAAAACAAAAATAAGTTTAAATTTTTAAAGAGCTATAAACATGTTATTTTTATCAACTGAAAAAAACTGGAAACTAGATATCTTCAGACAGTCAGTAATGCTCATTTCCTTTCTAACATGCTAGATCCTAGATATTTTGGATCTAATATTTCTGAAAATGAAGTTGCAATGACCTTAGCAGATAAGTTTTAGGAACTTGTTACCAATAATATTCAAGTTAAAAACCATATCTGCCCCATTTAATTAAAGCTATTATATAGTGAATCTGTTTTAAAAAACATCAAAGAATGATGAAAATCACTAAAATCTTTAGACTGCAGCATTATCATGGATATTGAAGGTTTGTTAAATGCAGCAGCTTCTAGTGCTGCAATTTAAGGAATTTTTCGTCTTTAGGGCTTGTTCAATCCAAGTTAAGAAACAAGATGGGAGTAGAAAAAGCGACAAACCTTGTTTTTATATACAGAACATTAAATAATGATGGATTGGGCGGTGCATTACAGCAGAAATGTTAATAGAAATTATAATTTACTCAAGTAAAATGACTAATGCTTTTTTTAATTAAAAATGTTGACTAAACATGGCTTTTTTTTAAAAAAAAGGTGTTTAAACCAAAAAAGACATGATTTTTGTGGTTTTTCTAAAATAGCCGATGGTTTTTTTGTTTGTTTTCTTTTTTTCAAAAAAAATAAATAGTTTTTTTGCAACCCTGCTCTAGAGCCTAACTTCTGAGATATGAGATTTAGTGAACTGAGAACTCTTTTATAACTTCTCTTTTTTAAATCAAACCAAACTTCACAACAGATATTGTATTGTACCAATGCCAAGCATGTAATTATTGGAATCTTGATAATCAAAAGATGATAACAGCACTAAGCACAAATAATGAAACAGCCAAATTTAATCTTTTAAGAAGCAAGTAGGTCTAGTGAAATTTAAAAGAGATAAATTTCAACAAACGAAAATTTAATTAAAATTGTACAAATATTTGTAAAGAATAAATTGAAACAATTTTGTGGTAATAGTTGTTGATGGAATCACCCTCTCTTAGAGCTATTACAGTGGGAAACCATACTATCAGATGACCTTGGAACCACTAAATTGTGCTGACAATTGTTGCATTTTTTATAACAAAATGTTATATATTAAAGGATTGGATTCAAAATTATAAAAGAGTGAACTTGTAAAAACGAAAACTTATAATAATAAAACCAGTACTGACTTAAAAACTTTTTTTTTTTTAATGGTTAATAATTTTTTAATATGTATTTTCAGGTTAAGATATTAATTTACCTATTTAATAAAAAATTTTCCTTGAAAGTAATTTTTTTTTTTTTTTGAATAAACATAAAGTAAATGTTACGATTATCTTTTTATTATAGAACAAGTTGTTGAGGTTCAACAGAAGTGCAAATCATATCATGAATGTCTCAATAAACTATGAATTGCGTTCCTTCGAAAAATTTGCCATAGAAATTCCTATTATAGTGAGTTTTCAAAATTTGGGTGGAAAATCTTGGAGTATCTTCAAAATATATTCAAACCAGGTTGAATTTCAAACTTCAAAATCATTAAAGATTAATAAAGATCCGTTTGCACTTCTAGGTTGTTTTTATTATTGTTCTTAGTTTTTTTTTATTATAGATTTAAATATTGTTTGTCATATTTTTGGATTGATTAATGGGGAACTTTTTATTTTTAGTTCCACTTTTGGGGAACTTTTTTTTTTTAGTTCTACTTTTTTATGCTCAGAGAAAGCATAAAAGTGAAAGTAATTTATACCTTACTTACTTTTATTTATAATTTATTTTGTTCTGAATTCAGTTAAATCTCATTTTATATCTATTCATAATTTTTTTTTCCTGTATTTAAAACAATTTTTGTAATTCATTTAACAATAGTTTTACTTTATTTAAAGTAAATTACACTATGCGCACAAACAAATGTTGCAAACCACACTTTGCACACATAACAAATGTTGGAACCACACTATGCACACATAAGAAAAATTGGGAAAAAATATTGAGGCTGAAGTTTGAGTCATTATGAGTATAAATTTTGGCTAAAGAATTTGTAATCAGTACTGTTTAAATGTAAAAGATTCTTTTAAAAAGATATTTAAAATATTTAAAGAACTTTTAAAAAACTGTGCGAATATTATCAGGACCACAAGCTGTAAAAAAATGTTAGTAGAGAATAATTTACAGAAGTGTTAGTGCTAAGAAAATTTAACAAATGATTATTGCAACTTAATATTTACTGATTGTACCATTACAGAAACATTTTTAGTAATGTAGAAAATAAAATAAAAATGCTTAAGCATTAATATGATGGAGTCTAATAGCATTAATATGATGGAGCATTAATATGATGGAGATTTTTCTTTACTTAAGATGGTTTTAAAGATTTTAAGAAACCTTATAACCAGTCTTTTTTTCGTAGCTTGTCATTAAAGAGGCACAAGCTGTCAAATGCACAGGAATAGTTTAATCATAATTAATTTGTTAATATTCAGTCTTTTTTTTTTTTTTCATTGGTAACTGTAATGAAGTAAAAGTTATGCAAATATAAATTGTTAAAAAAAAAAAATCATACAATCTTACTTTTTTAAAGCAAGATTGATTGTTGTGTTAAATGAAAATCATTTTGTTCTAATTAAACTAGGAAGTTATGGTCGTGGTTTATATTGGGATGAAATCAATTTATATATCTATGTTTGTATGAATCAACATGTTGCAAGGTAGTATTTTCTTTCTTTCTTTTTATTGTTTTTTGTTTTATTAAATGCTTCTATATCTCTTATTATTATTATTATTATTGTTATTATTGTTATTATTATTATTATTATTATTTTATTATTATTTTTCAAAAGCACTAGAGCAGCCTGTTACTATTCTAATAATGATGGCAAATCATGGACAGGTAACATTTTTTAAAGCAATACAGATTTAAATGTATCATTTAATTTAAAAAAAATTGAACCATGATTTTTTTGCACAAATGTTTCAAAATGCACGGATTTTTTTCAAAATAAAAAGTTTTGTAATTTTGTTTTAAATACTATTAAATTTTTCTATCTATTATATATTTCTTCAGAAAAGTTACAAACTATCTATTTTTCCTTGTAAAATAAATATTTACATTAACATTAAAAATAATTTTCTTTATCTTAAGTTATGTTGTGAATTTCAAACATTTGCTTATTCAGCAAAAAAAAGCTGTAGTTTTATTTTAAATTTTTTTACTTTTAATTTTATTTTTAATTTTTTGTATCATACATTATTTGGTATTTGATGCCTATGCATATGCTATTTGACAACATCAAGAAATGTGAACAGTGCATACCAGTGAAGAATGTGTTACTATGAAATCTATGTTGCTTTATCCATCTCCAAATGAAGGTCTTTGTTCAGTCTTTGTATTTATGGTTAAAAAATTGACGATTAAAGAAGTTCTTAAATTAAATTGAATTAAAGAAGTTCTTAAATATATTCAAAATTAGGACCATCTCAACTCTGATGTTGGTTTTGGAAAAGCGGTATTGCTTCTTTTTGCTAAAGATAAAAGTTGAAATTATATGATATTTCATTTTTAAGTCAGTTCTAAATCATCTGGATCTGTGTATGATGTTTTATTTTGTATGTATCAGGGTTCTGATTACCATGAGAATATTGTATTTATTCTTGAGCATTGTTCCAATAACATTTAGTGAATTTATTTGTCAGATTTTAAATTAAAAGGAAAAAAATTAGGCTGTTCTTTGTTGAAAATTTGATTTTATCTATGATGTTTTGGGACACCAGGGTTCAGCTGCTAGCTTTCCTAGTTCTACAGACCTAGCCAATTTATATTATCTAAGAAGCTATGCCTCTGTGCCTTACACACCACAATATCTGGAAAGGGCTCACAATGAGAACTTATGTGAAAATAGACATAAATTACAAACTCTAGGTTAGTTTTTATTTAATTATTGCTCCTGTGATTTTTAATAATAATATTAGTAAGTGTAGTGCCACCTGTTTTGCATATTATGTTAGGAATAGTGTTAAAACTGTATAAATTATTGTTGAAGAAATATAAGACTTTAGATTATTAAGCTGGTTTATTTTATCTAATAGTAAACAAGTGAAATGTGAGCTGTTAAAAGCATTGAATTATATCACACAGCAAATGCCTTGTTATGATGAAAATATAGAAATTCTTGAAGATATAGAAAGGCTATATGAAATATAAAGAATTAAAAGTAATATATTTAGTAAGTATGTGTAGTTTAAAGAATTAAAAAATTTCTGAAAAAATTGCCTTTTTATATCTCAATACTTAAAGCCCAATGTGAAGTTTTAAAAGTGGATTATAATTGATTGCAGATAGAGTGGGAGGGTTGTGAAAATTAAAAGAATATAGGGTTTCATAAAAGGGCTTTTTTCAGGCTTCAGATAATATATAAAAGTTGACTTACAGGTTTTCTATGGAAATGTATTTGCAGGTAATCATTGTAAAGAAATCACTATAAACTTTTCAGTGTTATTAGGAATAATTTTACGCAAATACATTTTAAGAAAAAAAAATATTTTTATGATGCTGAAATAAGTGAGTTCTTTATTTATATTAATTTACTTTTGAGTTTCATGCTTGCTTTGCAAAGGAAAATATTCAAAAAATACACAATATGAAGATAAAGAAGAGTGTTATCATAGCTGCATAAGAATTAAGACAGATGGATATTGAGAGCAGTAGCTGCATCTCATTTTAAAATGCTTTAAATCACACTGCAAAGCTGATAGAAAACTTTAAGCTGCTAAAGTGAAAAACTAGGTTGTGTGTTCTAACCAAGCAGAATATTTGTTTTGATTGTGGTCAGAGTTTAAAATCAAAGATTTATAAATAAATTTTTGAGTTTCAAACTGTTTTTATAAAAGTTTTTATTCGATAATTTTTTTTATTATATTTAACTTTTTTAATTTTAGATGCTATTTTGATTATTGGCTTTTAAATAAGTTGATTCTAATCTAGTTTTTCAGTCATAAAGCAATACAGAGTTGCAGTTTCTATTTAATCACAGAGTAAGCACAATTATTGCAGTTTGTTGCTGTTAGACCACAGAATAAACAAAAGTATTGCAGTTTGTTGCTGTTAGACCACAGAGTAAGCACAAGTATTGCAGTTTATTGCTGTTAAATCTTGAAGTAAACAGGAGGTTTCGTTTAGGAATGGAAAATGGAATAGAAAATTAGTATCAGCTAATGCATATAAAGCATTTTCTAAAAAAAAAATTTTAAATACTGGTAGTATATTATTAAAATACCAACTGATTTTATAGCAATTTTTATTTTATTTAGTTGGACAACTAATTATCAAATAAATTTTTAAGTAAGTCTAAAGAAAGTTTTTTTTTAACCAATAATTTTGTTGATCCAATTTAAATAATATTTTTTAAAGTAATATTTTTATTGAAAGCTAAAATTTAAAAAAGTTATCCTTGATTTTTGTCATACCATAATTGTGTTGAACTTGGTTTAGAGTGTTTTTATCTATTAATGATCATTCTTCCATCATCTTATCATAATTTTAATATTTTCTTGTGATTCTGCTTGACTTTATCTGTCCCTGAATTTGTTCACTGTTTGCTTTAAGTAAAGTTTCAAAATATTTATTATAAATATTAACTATCAAAATTAGTTATTTTAATTTGTAGATTATTTTTGATAAAAATAGTTCGAAGTTATTAAAATCTATATTTTAATAACTCTAAACTATTTTTATCAAAAACAATCTTAAATTGTCAATTCTGTGCGTTTATTGGAAATTCAAGAAAAGTCTTGAAAGATGTCAAACTTCTTTGTAAGCACTGAAAAGTTTACTAAATATATTATTAGCTCAAACTAAATATATTATTAGTTTCCTTTTAAATTTTATTAGGAAAACACCTAACCAAATTTGCTGAACAAGAAATCTTTAATATATCAAATTTTGAGCTTAACCCTTTCGCGACTGAGCTAAAAACAGCTACATGACTGCGCGTAAAAACAGCTACATGACTGCGCGTAAAAACAGCTACATGAGTGCGCGTAAAAATAGCTACATGACTGCTACATGACAGCTACATGACAGCTACATGACTGCTGCATGACAGCTACATGACTGCGCGTAAAATAAAGAATTAGGATCATGATCAGTTGAAAGAGTATAAAATAAAAATTACTAGTCAGAATTTTAAAAACAAGACCTCGTTTTTTTTTGTCTTAGAATTGACTTTCAGAATATCCAAAAACTTTACAAAAATTTTGTTTATCTTAGTTATAAGATCAAAATATATTTTGTTAAAATTAACAAAAATATATAGTTTCTCAACTTAAACAAATAATGAAGAAATAGATAAACATCATTTTTGATAATAAATTAATGAAGCCTTTATAGTGCTGATTAAACAAAAAAAAAAAAACACCACCATTATCATTAAAAAAAATATAAATGATTTCATTTATATCAATATAATATAATCTGTTCCTCGTCATTTTTTATAATTGATTTTTGAGCGATCTATAAATGCAATTAAGAAACGGTTTGAAGCATTAACTAAAAAATTATTCATAATTCAAAGAAAATTTAAAAGTTTTTCCCAATTGCTATAGATGTTTTTAAATATTTAAAATTGTTTATGCAAATTTTATGAACCGCCACACGTGTCACGAAAAGGTTAAAAATGCTTTACTAAATATATAATTTATTTTTACTAATTTTTATGTTTGTAGATTATTAATGTAGGTATTTGATGGGGGTGTGGTAACTAATTTATATTTAAGGAGTATTAATCGAGGTATTTGATGAGGTAGTGAGAACCAATTCAGAATACTTATATAATCATTAAAGCATTTGAAAAAGAATTTTTTTATAAGTTTCCCATAACTTGAACCTTCAAGGGACTAAGGGAAATGGTTTGATTTAACGAATGCTCAACTAAAGTAAATTCCTGTTAAGTTGAATTTTTCCTGATAAAAGTTTGGTTTAAGACAATTTTTCTTTATTCAATGCTTAAGTATAAACATACAGCATTAATGGTGTTTTTTAATGTTTTTACTTAAGAAATTAATAAGAAAAATTGTCTTTTTTCATGGATTTATTAGTATAATCTATTAGTACAAATAAAAGGGTGAAAAATGCTTCAGTGAAAGAAGTTGCGCAATATATTTACGCTGTACACTTAAAAGATAATATTGAAAAAAGTTTAGCAACACAAAGAATTCCTTATTATTAGGTAATAAAATTGTTTTATTTTGAAATTTATTAAAACTATTAAATAATTGCTTTTTTAGTAATTTAATATGATTTTTTTGTAACAGCATTGTTATAGCATTATTTTATCTATTCTGTTCGGATCAAAATACAATGAAAAAATATTAAAAAATATCAGTCAAATATTAAAAAATATCAGTCTACTGTTATTTATGTTTTATTTGGAATGACTTCTCAAGAATTTCAATCAAATTACTTTGATTTCTTAATTTCCCATACAAAAAGTTAGAGTTAACAGAAGAAATCAGCTGAAAGGAGACAAAAAAATGCTTTGACTTAACAAAGTCCGAGGTTCAACCGGAGAATTTTAATAGTATACAATCAGACGATTTAAAGAGATCAAATGAAACAGTTTGAGATAACAAAAGTTTGAGTTAACTGGTGTTTGACTTACCAGGAAATAACAGATTACATATTAGAGAAACGGCAAAATTTTTTTGTCCTGTAGTAGAAAATAATGAACATTTTAATACTGGTTTAAAAATCAAATTTATTTACTAAGTCGCACTAAGACTCGCAACAACATGGTGGGTGCCATATATTATGGAAAATATTTTTTTCCTAAAGTATATTAAGTTGGGCCTAGGGTCTGAAGCGAAATTTCATTAAAAATTTTAAAAAAGTATTGTTTTTAAATAAAAATCAATTTTTTAAAATTTTTTATTAATACTTAAGAAAACCACATTTATTAAAAACATTAATAAATGTGGTTTTCTTAAGTATCAAAATGTTTATTAGTTTCTTAGAGACGGCAAGCACTTTAACTGCTGTACCATTTTTGCTTATAATATTATCAACTTATATATAATTATAACAAATAACTGCCACATTTGCGCTTATACTATTGTTATAAATAACTGCTGTATATTATTACTGTGCATGCAGGTATTGGTTAATAGAAAGATAGAAGATGAATGATATGAATTGGAAACAAATGTTTACATTTTTATGTCGTTTGTTTATGAGAAAAAATTTACTTTTAATAATTACTTAGCTTTAGATTTACAAGTTGGATCAATTATTGGTCACCATTTGTTATCAAATGAATTATATGCAGTACATCGCAACGAAAAATTGTATTTGATGTTTCATAAATATCATAAAAAGTGGTTTGCAATAACAAATGAGGAGTTTGTAAAAAACGTTTTAAAAAACATTAACTTTAACTTTTGGAAAAACTTAGAAAATGATGAAAATCAAGTGTTTACATTAAGTTCAAAACAATGGATGGGTAGGTGGAAATAGTTGTTATTTGTGTTGATTTATTTCTTTTAAATTTTTAAGTTCAAATTTTTTTTTATTAATTATATTTTTACTTTAATTAATGTTGTCAATTTATAAATTTATTATTTAGAATTAAAACAATAACAAATAAAAGATTGACTGGTAAAAAAAATACAATAAAAGTAGTAATAAGCAGTAATAAATTTTCAAATTTATATTAAAAATATTTTATAATTTAAGATTTTAAAAATTAAAAAGCTTATAAAACCATGTCAAAAAATAATTTAATATTAAATTCTTTTAATATTAAGTTCTCTGGCAAGTAATAAGAGTCGCAACATTTAGCAAGAGACAAAAAAATTATTAAAAACATCAAAATTTATTAAAAGATTTAAAATGTTTAAATAAATGCAGTGACATAATAATAGCAGTTAAACATAAAAATAATAAACAACACAATTTATTTAACACAAAATTTATAATTATTATGAATTTTGTGTTAATTATATAAATAGTTAATGTGAGTTTACAATAAAAAAATCTATATATTGATTTTTTGAAGAAGTGATTATGTTTCTACTTGCTCTTCTCGTGTTTTTTTTCGGATTGGGGGTGTTTCTCCTTTAAAAGCACCAGAATCCTTCTCACAACTTTTACTTTACTGCTGTTGTCTGACGAAATAATGGAAGTTTCTTTTAGATAAAGGAAGTAGCCAAAAGCATCTCCCTTTGATGATAATTTTAAGTGTTTGACATCATCATGGTGTCAGGTAGACATCACGAGTCTTCTGTAACTTTTTTGTTATATATGAATACACTTTATTTTACTTTAATTATGAATACACTTAGAAATAATAAAAATAAAAAGTATATTTACTTTAAATAACATTTAGTCTATAAATACAACTCAATGCTAATGTGTAACCTCTAAATATTTTTCGATCTTTATATATTTCACACAAATCATTTTTATCCTAAAAGGAACTCACTCAAATTGGATCCCATAGCAGATTTTAATTTAATATTAATGACATATAATTTATTCATATATACTATCCTACTAATAGAATCGTAGCAAAAAAGTAAAGAGAATTGAATGAAGTTAACATAATTAGTGCTCTTATGCATTTGTGGCTCTAGAAATCATTAACCTAACTGGCTTTTTATTGATCAAAAAATTTGAAAAAAGCATTTACACCCCTAATCTTCCAACTAGGCTAATGAATTTCTACTTTGAAAGTTACGTAACAGTTACCACTTTCAAATAACCCCTCTGACCACTTTGCTACTACGCAAATCTTTATTATGGTACGCAAGTTTTATTATTGTATTATTTTATTAGGTAACGCATATGGTTTGTTCTTTCGTAATACATCTCGTGATACTTGGTTATTAAGAGTAAAATGGCCGAAATAATTTTAAACATTTTGTTCCTGATAAATAACTGTTCCAGATAAACAATTGCTCACGGTAAATAAATGTTAACGATAAACAACTGTCCACGATAAGCAAACGTTCACGATAAAATATTGATCAATAAAAATGAAGATTAAAAGTACGGTGAAGATTACGAATGATAAGCAATTAATAGTAACTATAATAACATAATTAACATAAATTAACAGGGATTAACAATAGTTATTACCATTTACTTATTTGACATTTTCTAGCTTTTTTTATTTCATTTTATTTTATGAATGTGGTATTTTTGTGTTTACTTATCAATATAATAGGAATAAAATCTCTATTATTGTGTGCATTTAATCAAGAATGCTCTTTAACTTTTTTTATGAATTTTTATGAATTTTTATTTTGAATAACCTTAACAGTTCCAGAGCCTTTATTTTTGGCGACCTGGGCCGGATAAATATTAGTTTTTCTTTTTAATTTTAGTTAAATTTTTTTTGTTTTTTAGGATTTTTGGAGCTTCAAAAGGTGCTCTCAGGATCTTCAAAATTTATATATTAGATATTAGATATATTAGATATTAGATATTTTAAATCATGAAAGATGAAAAAACTTCTACAGCAGTTTTGTAAACAAATTCAAAAAAAAAAAAAATCTGAAAAAAAAGCTTTTTTTAGCCTCCGAGTGCAATTTAAGCTAATTATAAACCCTAAAAATAAATATTATTTCAGACTTGTTTCTGCAGTGCAATGGATGCATTTTTAAGGTGGGTAACCACAATAAAAAAAGTTTTTTTTAAAAAAAAAATACTTAACTACTTTAATTTTAAACATTGTAAATTCTAATTTTGACACCTTGTTTGCAAGTGGTTCCTTCATGATCGTGGCGAAATATTCATGGCTAAATAGTTTGTAAAAGGAGCTGTTTGCATCTTTGCCAATTTGTATAAGCTTGCCTGCATTTAATCTAAGAATTATATTTTCGTTTTCATTTATTATCCTAAGTATATACACAAAAATTTATATATATTTTTATATATATATATTATTTTCCATTGCTTTTAATAGAAATGGGGAATTAAAAAATTATCGTTAAAAAAATAAGATTTAATTGGATTTTAAAAACTAGTGTTGAAAACCCCTCGTTAACTTGCAAAAAACTTAAAAAGCTCAGTTAAAACATTTTTTTTATTTTGAAATTATTAAAGGCATCATTAAGAAATTTTTTACATGACCAATTTTTGGTAGTCGTATAAGTTTAAATAATGATTCCACTCTTAGGGTGGAGTTTTTCTGCAAATTATTTGTAAGTTAAAGAATGTCCATATGAGTTTAATATATATACTTTTAATGAAATTTATAAAGGTTATTTAAGACAAGGATGAAATTTGCAAATAAAGCAAAAAAATAGTTCAACAAATAAAATGCCTATAAAGAAGCTTTGAATAAAGTTACTATCGATGAAACAAAGCAAAAACGAACATAATTTTTTTGGATATATTTCGCTGTTCATATAGAAATAAAAAATTAAAATTACAATGAAACTTTTACGTCACACAGAAGTTATATAAAACAGACAGGGGCTTAAAGAAGATACGGATGACCGGTGTCACCACAATCTTTTCATAGAGCCCCTTTACAATAACATTTAAAACCCACATGGCTTCACTAAGTTTATAATAAAATATTTTTTCTGAAAAATACTACGTGAAGAATAAAAACTCATAAATGAATACATACTCATATATACATATACACATAAAAACACACACATATACAAACATACTTACATATATGTCAGAAATTAAGAACATGCAATTTCATTTGTTGTTTAAAAGAGAAAGTGCTTTTTAAGTTTTTTATGTTGTTATTTTTTAATTGATTCCAATGACGGGCCTTGGCTAATAATTGAGAATTTTGACACTTGAGATTTTACTCTGCTCAAGTGATAATTATGGTTGGTATTTGATTGAAGATTGCATTTTTGTGAAAACATTTATTAGTATTAAAAAACATTATTTTGCGCGATTTATAAGCTTAAGTGTATTATATAAATCTACATAATTGACGATATTTTATGAGAAGCTTTCATATCATTAACACATATTGAAAATAATAAAGGTCCCAAAATTGATCTCTCTGGAACTCCGCAAACAATATCAAGAGCTCCTGACTCCTCCAGGACAACAAACTGTTTTCTTTTAAAAAGATTTATTTGTTAGACTTTTAATGCCGTAATGCTTTATTTTTGAAAGTAAAATTCCGTGATCAACAGTATCGAATGCCTAAGAGAGATCAATAAATACTCCTAGTACTTGTTCCCCTTTATTAAAAGACATAGATATCATAGGATACTGATTTCTATAAATGAAGTAGTAATAGATATAAACGAAAGAACTTACGTTGATTTTACAGTGCATTGTAGCTATTGCAGAGGATGTAAAATATGGAAAACTGAAGTGTATTAGCTTATTTTTGGCTGTTTACTGCCATTACTACATTACTAGATTATACACTGTTTAATGCCATTAATGTTTGAAGCCATTAATGTTATCTAAATCATTCAAAATCTTTATCAGTAATAAGGGTGCTGGTGGCGTTAAATTACTTTCTTGATTTGTAAATAACTGTGAGGTAATTTATAAGCTTTGTATGGGTGATGGCGATTCTTCATTATTTGATAAAGTTGTTAGTTGCAAACCATAAGTTTTTTATGAACTTCAACAGCAAAAACTTAAATAATAAGGCATATAAAAAAGCGTATTGGAAATCGTTTAAGAAAACGAGAAAAAAAATATTTTTACTAAAAAATAAGAGATGTTAAAAACCTTATCAATAGTTCTATAAAAACTTTAATTTGGAGGGTTAAATAGTTGTTGCAAGTGGAAAAAAGAAAGAAATGTTACTTTAGGCTTTTAGTTGACAAAAAGCTTAAAATAAATCTTCCTATGTGGATGTATATGCAATAAAAAAAGATTTCAATGACCTTTCTTATGGTTTTCTTCCAATAAAGTGTGTTCATGGAAAGACGCACCATTGTAATGAAGGACTTTAATAAATTATATAGTCTCGAAGTCATAAAAATATTTTTGTTACATGACTTTTGCTTGAAGCGCGTGTTAGTTCTGCCATTCTTTAACTCAATACTGGTAAAAAAGTTAGGCCTTAGGGGCCATCCATAAAGGACGTCATCCAAATAGGGGCGTCGAATTAAAAAAGGAAGGGGGTCGAGTTAAAAAGGACAAAAAGGAAAAGGGGAGGGGTTTTATTGGCTCTTTTTTTAATAAAGTAAGAGCCAATAAAAAACTAAGAATAATGGAATTCGATATTCATTTTGAAAAATCAAGAAAATTATTTATCTTAATTAAAAATTTCATTTTTTATTAAAAACTTAAAGGAAATTAACGATTTTATCGTATTTAAATTTTTTGTTTTTTGAAAAATGTTCCATTGTTTTGGTCCGCGGTATGATATGGAATATTTAGAATACTTACAACTAGAGATGCAAAAAAAAAAATGTTTTTTTAAATCTGTGTTTTTTTTTGTGTTTTTTATGGGTTTTTTTTGTTTGTTTTTTTTATTTTTAGATTTTTTAAATTAATAAAACGTGTTATTTTAAAATTTATTATAATGTTAACAAATAATACAAAATTTTAAATAATTGCCGAAAAAATTATTTAAATAGTTTTTTAAACAAAAAGTTACTGAACCAACCTTACTAAACTTAGAGAATGTTTAGTAACGCCCGTTCAGTAACTCCGTTCAATAATACTGCCCAGAATAAATTCTTGATGACTTTAAGTCATAGATTATTCTGCGTCACATATTTGATTTTGGAGACCTAAATTATGGGAAATAAAAACTAATTTTAATACTCCGTCAATTGATAATAAAAGGCCGGATTTACCCCAGTGGGCCTCTATGTCATGTTGATGTGGAAGACCACTTCCCAACGAGGGTGTGGGGAATGGTCTTCATGGGCTGTGATTTCCAGAATTTTTTTTTCAAATCAAAATTTTAAGAATTTTTTTTTGAAATAACCAAGCAAAGTTTGCCTTTTAAAATTGTTTTTGTTCAAATAAAATTTTGTTTTTGATTATAGTGTCTACTATAATCAAGTCATCAATATTGTTTGTTTGTTTGGTTTATTCATGATCAACAAAATTTATAAGTTATTGACAGAGAGCGGCCACTATAGTGGCCGCTCTCTGTCAATAACTTATAAATTTTGTTACTTTACAAAAAATTTTTTTTGTAAAGTAACAAAACTATAATTTCGTTACAGAGTGGCCTATAGGCCACTCTGTAACGAAATTATAGTTTTTATATTTCAGATATAGTTAAGACGCCAAAAGCAAAGAAAGTTCATATTTAAAATTGTTCAGGTTTTTCGAGTCCATTGCATTTTGGGTAGAATCATTCCATGGTTTGACAACACGATTAGTGATAAAGGTGTTTTTTTCTGCACAGTTTTGTACAAGTTATGCTTTTAGTTGCTTTGTGAGTATTTGAAGTAGGCAGTATGTTTTGTGACTCGGTAATGAACTTGTTCGAGTTTTGGCTATGAGTTGGATATGGTGGCTTGTACTGCAAATTCTATATGCGTACGAACGTATGAAGTATACAAAGTACGCTATAATGCTGATCATCGACCTCAAAAAGTCAAGCATTCGTTTGCCAGCTGATGCAAAAGGTTAAGAAACAAGTCTTTGCTTGTACTTTAAACTTCAGATTGTCCCACTTCCCCCCTCTACTATTAAATTACGTCAACATTTAACTACTCTTCTTCCCCTTTTCCTTACCTTACCTTATTAAGAAATTTAAATGAAAGAAAACATTTTTTTTTAAATAATTTAATTTATTTTATAAAGTAACATTATTGGCGTCAACTTTTCTTGACTTACCCCTTTCCCCTTGACAACAATTGTCAAAAACTTTTAGGCTTCTTCCCCTATTTTATTAAAATAACTAATGGACATACCTTAACTATGTTTTAAATTTAATAGAGTAATATTTTAAAAGAGTAACTTTACAAAACACAATTTTTCTTATATTTCGTTGTGTTTTTTTTAACATTGATGTGTAAATGGTTATAGCTAATATATAAGGTAACACACATTATATTGAACGAAAAAACGTGTATATTTTAAAGTTTATTTGAGATGTAACTGTTTCAAGGTTCATTAACATCTAAAATTTAAAGAGAACTAAAAAAACAACAAAAAATCATAAAAAGCATGTTTAATTTATGTCTTTTTTAAAAAAACGCGTTGGTTTTTTTTGAGTTGCAACTCTATTTACAACTAATACTTGGCATAAGTATTCAATTGGTTTATTCTAAGAGAATATTTTCTGTTTACGTTTTTTTGTAAATTTATC